ATTTCCAGAGGTGTTATCTGCAGGTCAGGCAGCTTAGCACAATGCAAAGGCTTTATTTGTGGTTTGCAGTAAACAAATCTATTTGTACATTCCAGATCAAGATTAAACTGTGCAAATAATTCTTTATATTATATATCAAATATCGCTGTTCCTGTCCAATGCCGCTGCTGTTACAGGGAGACTTTCTGTAACTACAATAACACAAGCCCTTTAGAACTGTGACCAGATAATTCAGGGTTAGGCATCTCTGTCACATTGCGTAGCTCGATGTTCCTCTGCAGAACATTTAATTCCTGTCCTTCCTCATGACAAAGTTGGTCTTCTCTCGGCTGAAGCAAGATCCAGTCTCGATCTGTACTGAACGGTAACAGAGAATGATACTGACTGAACCAATTTATTCCCAGGATTCCAACTCTTAAGTGGGAAGGAGCTGTGTTAGATTTGTGTTCCCTTATTAAAGTCATGTCCCCCAACAATTTTCCTCCCAGTTTCACCCACTCAATTTCTCCAGATCCACTGTTTTTTAGTTTTGTCAAAAATGTTCTTCTCTGCTAAAGACAATTTCCTTCCCTTTCTCACCAACAGGGAGTGCAGTTTCCTCGAGTGCCTTGTGGGCACTTCACCCATCATTACTGACCATGTGGGAGGTTTTTGAACTAAGCCAAATTCTGGATCACCTGAGGCCTGAAATTCCTGGGTAGCATTAATAGTGACACTGACACTGTCAGCTTCTAGCAGGTTTAGAATCAGTCGCCCACCTATGTAATTACCCCTGGCCAAAGGTATCACACAAATGGAATTTCAACCCATATAATCTTCTCTTCCGAGGCAGTAACAAAATGGCTTCTAGTGCTTTATATAATGTGCACCTAAATCACTTCTTTAAAAATCAGTTGCATCTCAATCCCAAGCATTTGGTAAAATTCTGCTTGAAAGAATTCCAGATGAGGTGAACGTCCATGAGATCGAGTCGCAAATTGGACAGAAATTTGGCTGGATCCTAGGAAGCCAAGCAGACTTAAATAGGAATAGGCCAAAGTGGAGAGCAATGACCAGAGGGCTCCCATAGGGATGTTCCCTGGTGCTGTGTGCATAGTGTTTATTAATGCCTGGCTGAGGTTATTGTAAACAAACCGTCTGACTATGCAGGAATGTATCTACGGCACGAGATGTACAGTTTTGATAGGAATTCGGAATTACACAACCCTGTCACATATCCACACAAGGCTTTCTGAAACATTCCCAATAGGCTCAGCGTTTCAAACAACGAAAATAGATGAGAAAGCTGGACGTTAAGAGAATCAGGACCTGTAAGCAGAGCTTTACACAGACCTGGTATCTTCAAAAATAAATAATTTGGTCACTAAATCCATGATTGTTTGTGGGACGCTGCTGTGTATAATTAGCTGCCATGTTTCGCCCACAAAATATAGTCAAATTCACTTTACAGCATATTCTGTTAAGTGCTTTGAAACGCCTTAATAATGTGATAAGGCGCTGTATCGAAAGCAGATTATTATTATGATTATTACTACAATGCTACATCTAGATGTGAGATGCGAGACCAACTATAAAATAATCTCTGGCGCTAGGATCCATGGCGTCTTTTAATAAAAGGGCAACTGCTTGATGGCACCTGGTGTTTCTCTGGAAGGTAAACATACCTGTGTTTAACAAGACGCCAGGTAATTAGAAGGGAGTAAGGGCAAATCTGATGCTGAGCTCAGCAGACACACATTACCCTTTAATTAGTTCCCTGCTCAGGGCACAATACTGCAATCTGGCCCTTTGGCTACGTGGTTGACGGCAAAGTCTCAGTGACCCTGTATTTTATTGAAAGCATTCAGTAGCAGCCACAAATGCATGAATAAACATTCCCAAAGATAAAATGCTCGTTTTTTCTTTATCTGTATGCAGGTAGCTCTGAGAGAAAGAAAAACAATTACTACTACTGGTCTCAGGAACTTTAAAGCATTTCAGTCTGTTTCACAGACGGATACAAGATAAAATCCGTCACGCAGAAATTGCTGCTAAAGGCCCCCACATGTCTCTTTGCACAACTTCTTCCAAAATGTTCACAAAGTTCTTCAAAGAAACTGTGGAGAGTGCAAAGCAACTAGGTCGAGACACGCGCTGGTGGGTTTAAAAACCAGACAAAGTAATCCAGAGCAGAAAGGGAGACAAATCACCGTTAACAACAGTGCTGTACACTTCATTTCCTAAAGCCTTCATCGTTTCTCATTGTTTCCCTGCTGATTTACATCACACAACAACAACAACAAGATTGCATTTATAGAGTGTCTTTCACGTCGGGAGGACGTCCCAAGGTGCTGGACAGTTGGGTCGGGACCCGAGCAGGGGGGAAATGGTCAGGATGAGGGAAGGGAAGGGAGGGAGCGAGGAGGGGGTTGAGAGTCGAGAGGGGAGCTGAAGGCACGGTTGAACAGAAAGGTCTCGAGACCGGCCTTGAAGGAGGAGAGGAAGCGGCGAAGGCACTGGAGGATGGAGCTCCAGAGCCTAGGGGTTGAGAGGCTGAAAGCCTGGCCGCTGATGGTAGGGCGGTTAGGGCGGGGGATGTGGAGCAGACCGGAGCCAGAGGAACGGAGGGTACGGGCAGGTATGTAGGGGGATAATAGTCACTACACTTTACAACAATAAAGCTCTGAGATGTTTCGATATGACGAGACATGATCAACTGCCAGGATTATTGTAAATGCTTCTCTTATAAACAGAACATTTTTGTTCTTCATAAAGATTTTCCCGTGCTGAATGGAACCAATCTAACTGAAGACAGACTCCAAAGCCTCTGACCCTGAGCAAGACACTGAGATAATAATAATGCTTGCATTTGATATAGCGCTTTTCACGTCTTCTCAACGTCTCAATGCACTTCACAGAATATTCTGTAAAGTGAATTGACCGTATATTTGTGGGCGAAACACGGCAGCCAATTGCACACAGCAGTGTCCCACAAACAGTCCAGCTAAACAAACACCTGGCGTTTCTTCTCCCCCCACCCCCTGACTCTGAGAGAGAAGGATTCAAACTTCCCAATCACCACAATGCTTTGAAAATATGCTCCAACCATCTAATTGAATGCACTCAACTACTTTGTTCAACACTCAACCACGGTTAAGAACATCAGTGCCTTCAAATTTGGCTGCACTGAGCATTGCTTTGCAAATAACCCACACTGTGCAAGTGTAACATTGTGAGAGCAGTGTAAATGCTCTCACTGCTCCCAAAACAGACAACGGGAGATCGTACAATGGGCTCCCACTCACACCTCTGAGGTTGGCGAGGACAGGATTGCTCTGGGCTATGAGCGATAGCCATCCCCCGTATCACCACTGTTCAACCTTGACTTCCTTCATCCACAATATTCTTCTTTCTCTTTCTCTCCTGCCATCATGTATGAAAGATCTTCCAAGCTCACACACTGATCTCTCATTTCATAGCTCATGAATTATTGAAATGTATCCATCCATAATTCTTGAACTCCAGGAGTTTCAAATGCTAATCATCAACCTTCCCAAATGGTTCTAACCTATTGCCTATTTCCTTGCATTTCTCTTCAGATCTTGTCCTTGCAAAACTACCCAATCCTTTAGGAACATTCTTGCAAGGTTAATATTTGCTTAACCCTCAATCTAAACCACACAACTTTGATTAGCCACATGTGGCTTTGAAAGCTTTCGTCTGTTTCCACCAATATGTTAAGACTATTTGGTTCTCAGACAGACTCTGCCCTGGACGTCAGTGGTTACACGTCTCCTACAGCAAAACCACAGGGTAAATATTTTCTAAGCAACGCCTTCAAGTTAGTTTTATTTTAAGATTTCACAGTACACCAACAAACTGCCCTCTGGATATAGAATCCAACAGTGAGGGCCCACGAGAGCAAATTATATTCACTTTCGTCAGCATTTGCAGACTTCATGGCAATAATAATAATTTTTATTATAATTATTATATTAACTCCATCAGTGAAACCCCTCTGAATAAGGGCTATACTGGGTATGTATCCTACATACAATGTCAGCAAAACTGCTTCTATATCAAACCAAAGATCAAATTACGTGGCTTAATGACTTGGTAGGTAATTTAAAAAGCTACATCGGTGAACCCCAAACCTTTCTTGTCAAGCTGATAAACATCAAATAAACCAAAGAAGTCAACAGATTCACATTTTGGATTAAATCAAACATCTCGAGACTGCCTCACTCAGCCTTGGCCGAGATGGACAGACGGTTCAGAGATTCACAACTGTTGCTGCCATCAATTGAATCTATGTCTAAGTTACACCTTAAATCTTTTCATCTCAAGAGACACTAAGCAAGAAGTTGGATGCTGATTATTTATTCCCAAAGTGAGTAAAGGAACCACAAATGATTACCATATTCTGTTGGCTGTTTCCTCAAACCTTTTTTTGTGCATTAAACTGAAGGAATTTCCATAAAATAAACTGCAGAATGTAATCTTAAAACACTGAGAAGTGAGGTTTACACAACCAAGCGGAACAAGGTCATCTTTCAATGAGTCAACAGAGATTTTTTTTATATTTTGAAGTCTAGACAGAAGCATCATGTACGAGAGGATGAAAGGAATTGATTTTCAGTGGATTAGACTATACAGCTCTGAGCTGTGGGTTAAATTATCCCGAATGCTTGGTCGGCGAGGAGAAGGATTTATGCCCCAGGCCCAGCTTTCAAGACAAGAGAGACAATAAATGAACGCACAGCATTTTAGTATAATGTCTAATTTTTAACCCGAAATAGTAAATTCAACAACGTAAGGGAAGGGGAAAGATTCTCTGTGCAGAGATGCCAGCATTTAGCCGCTAGTAATAAAATCAGCTGATAGAATTATAGCCATTGTCGTTCTGAGACGCTACCCTGCGTGAAGGACGCTATATAAGTGCAAGTAGTTGTTGCTGTATGTGTCTCGTGTTAGTTGACAGACAAACCTCAGCAGGAGGTGGAGGACATGACAACACTCACCGGTATGGGTCAGTTGGGTCCTTGGCAGTGCACATGTCTGCGTGGCCATTACAGACACAACGACCCCCAATGCTGATATCCTTGATGCTGTAGTAATACTGCAGTGGAAGAACAAATCATGGTTAGCCGAGCTTCTGATTATGAAGCGACACACACAGAAAAGTCAAGTGCTGCTGTGTCACCAGACAGTCAAACATGTCAATAGTCTATCACAGCCTGTAACCATTTACATCATTTTGATGTTTGAAGAGAGCCGGAGAGATAATCGTGTAGTAAAGCTACAAACTTCTGGGCTGTTTGTGGGCCAGCTGTGGGCAGGACAATAACCTGTATTTATCTATGCTCAGGCACAGCAGCAGAGGCATTGGTAGTGTTGGGTTGTGTTGGGGACAGAAACTTTGGGTTTGGTGCTAAACCTCAGCGTGAGCCATCGCTGTGGAAAATGGCTAAGGTTCTCGCCAGTGGACAGTTCAGTTCAGCTGGTTAGTAATGCAGCTCTTATGAGCAGTAAACATACAAGCCAATATCTCTAGCCCAATAGCACAATCTTACAGGGGGATATATAGGTGGAAAAACCATCAGGATTAATTGTAGTAAAAATACATTTTAAAGTAATGTGTAGCGTAGCTGTGGTGATAGGGCCTGTTGTGTATTTTGGTATTTGGGAACACAACAAATATAGGCGGTGTCACACTATGAGACGACGCCGTTCCCCATTAAGCAGTCAGAGCCATGATGAACACCCACCCGGCGAGTTACGGTGGGGTCTCGCAGGGCCTTCCCCATCAGGTGTCCCAGTAACGTGTTTGTGCGGAGGAAACGTAGGCGGATGCTGGTGGCTTTGGTGAAATCCCGAAGGACGGGAGAGTAGGAGAAGTTCATGGCTCCAGGCCGACCATTTACCAGGGATACGACAACCTGAGAGGATTAGACACAAATAACACAGAGCAACTCAACATCCCCGCAATATTTAATCCAATCACCAGTGAGAGCTCAGCATTTACACCCCATACACACACATGACAATATTACATATAAATATCTGCTCATGTGTAAGAAAAAAGTCAATATTTCAAAATGTGTTTAGCCTGCACTCCAAATACACACACACGACACATAGACCCACACACACATACACATAGACCCACACACACACACACAGACACGTAGACCCACACACAGATACAGACACACACACAAACATACACACAGACACATAGACCCACACACATATGTACACACACACAGACACATAGACCCACACACATACACACCCATACACACACACATATACACACAAACACAGACACTTACACATCGACACATAGTAAGTAAAACTAGTAAGAGTTATTGAAAAGGTACTCAACAATCCAATCAGATGTAGCCCTACATTTGAGACCAGTTCTCCAATCCAAGAGTGTAGACTGACATCACATCAAACCACAGGGAACAATATTGCCAGACAAGCCAAGCGTCTCAGGTTCAGAATCGTGAAGGAAAGGTTTAGGACAGATACCAGGAAGTATTTCTTTACATGGAGGGCTTTAATCGCACAAGGCTGGGTTCGTGAGAGGATGAGATGACAAAAGATGAAGCTCTCGCAAAACAGAAGATGGAATAAATTGAGCTAAAGAAATTCTCTATTTTTTCATGAATCACATAAGTTTTCTGCCATAAAAAGCAATTTAAAAACACTGTATATTTTCAACACATGATTTTAAAATACTTGTAAGATTTTCCTCAATGAAGATATTATGTGCAACAGTTCATAATTGATGAGAACCAGATCAGAATGGATCCCTTCATCACTGACCTCTCCGTTTTCCAGCGGGACGATGCGGGAATACTCTGTGGTGCAGATGGCATCGTTGTCCTTTATAATCCGTTCCACAGTTTCTGGCCCAAACTTCTCAATGCAGTCTCTTTTAGATGCTAACGAGAGTGGAAATCATCCAAGTATGAGGCACATTGTTTTAGAATTGAACCCAAGAATCAAGTTTTAAGAAAGGAACTACGGTTGGAGAAATTAGAATTTTGACCATTTACTTAATAATAATAATTCTTGTATTTGTTATAGCGCCTTATCATGTTATGGAGACGTCTCAAAGCGCTTCACAGTGTATACTTTAGAGTGAATTGACTATATATTGTGGGGAAAAAATGGCAGCCACAAACAGTCTTGGATTGAATGATTTTCCCCAAAATATCAACAGAACATATGAGGGCAGACTGAAATAAAGTATTATGAACAGGAGCCAACTTAATGCAATGACTTGCTCATTGACCACAGATGAGATTCGCCGACGGATATAAGGAGATGAAGAGATTAATTGTACTTTTCTTCCTTTTAAGTCACAGACTCAACTGCAGGACAAACAAAACCAAAAGATGGAATATCATATTCTCTCCCGACAAAAAACACTCACTCTGGAGCAGATTCGCTTCAGTCTAGAACCCAGACTCCATCGTCCTTTCTGAGTTGTTTTTTGATAGAATCTTTAATTTAATTCAGAATCACGAGGTGACAACCTGAGCTATGTCACTGCTGCAACAACAGCAACTTGCACTTTATAGCAGCTTCACGTGGGGTAGCATCCCGGAGCTCAATAGAACATTAATGCCGCAGTCAATGGAACTATAGTGATGGGGGTCTGGGCTTTACTGAGAGCAGCAGAATCATAAAACACATTTACAAACACGTTAAGCTGGTGCTTGAGAAGCAGGTACTGACATTAACAAACAGGAAAGGGATGCGGGGGATGTGACCATACGTACCATCAATGTGTAGATTTTTAAGGTGGGGCTTGAAGTCCGATGGGGGTCGGGAGGGAGGGAGTTCCATTGGTTAGGAAATTAGAAGCCTATACTCCTTACTTTGAGGATTCAAATAAACTTTTGTTTGGTTAAAAAGTCATCCAAATTCCCACCAAATTGGTATTAAGAGGGCCATCTCCCTTTTCAATAGTTCAGTAATCTAAACAAAGCTTTATGCTTGGCAGCAGCTAGTTACTGATCAGTGATCACCTACTTCATTACTAAGTGATCATCTGTGTGTGTGTGTGTCTGCGTGTTTGTGTCTGTGTGCATGGCGTGTGTCTGTGTGCATATGTCTGTGTGCGTGGCGTGTGTCTGTGTGCGTGGCGTGTGTCTGTGTGTGTGGCGTGTGTCTGTGTGTGTGTGGGGGGGTGGTCGTTATGGGTGTAGGGGCTCTGAATTCTAAATCCAGTTTGTCATTACCTCAGCTTTCCGGTAAAAGACAACTGGAGTGGTTTATCTGATGGGCTGTTTGCCTGAGCAAAGGAACTCGCAATCCTCACAGTGCTAGATGCTGATCAGCAAAAGACTAGAGTTCAGCTCCAGCCAGAACTAAGTTTCTAACACATCAGATACAAAGTGCCTCTCACTCACAAGAATATCGTTCTCTTTTTGTCAGGTTCAGGCAGTCATGAGATTACTGATGTATTTTGGTATAAAACAAGATTATTAAACCATACATAGCAAAGAAATGCACATTTTTACCACAAAGCTTGTGCCCTTTTGATTAAGGCGACACGATGAGATGTAACTGATGAAATGTTCCTCCTGATGCTGTAATTGTCGATTGACTTGGCTACAATTCCTTCCTCGAATACAATTGTTTCTGCTGGCTCCCAGAGTCTGCTGACTGGAGAGCTGCGATTGTCAGCCCTACATGGCATTACAAAACGTGTTTGCATAATTTACTTTGCTAATCTGTATGAAAAGAAAACCCATCGCAATTCATCTGTCCCGACCTAAACTACTACTTGTGTTTACACACAACTAAAGGAACACAGGTTAACATGCGCCACAGGAAAGTGTGATCTTTGCTGATATTAATAATCCTTGCATTTGATGTTATGCCTTATAACATCATCGAAACATCTCAAACGCATAAGCTAATTTACTAATTTAGCTAATTTACGTACAGCAATGACCAACACACAGCAATGAAATGATCGACCAATTCTATCTGGAGGATTGTTGGCCAGGACACGGGAGAAATAGTACAACAACAACAAATTACATTTGTATGGTGCCTTTCGCGTTGGGAGGTCGTCCCAAGGCGCCGGGAAACTTTAACAACCGCCCAATATTAATGACCCTGTATATGCAAAACTCAGACGAGAGCTGATAGATTGAGAAAACAGAACCATTTAGGCTCCAATGGGTTCCTGAGCAGAAAGATAAAATATCGCATTGTACGTTTCAGGAATTAAGCTGTCAAAAGGTTAAATTCAGAGTAAACTATTAGAATAGGAGGAAGCTAGCCTGCTCCCTGGGGCAATGAGTAAAACGATAAATAGAGTAATTTCCTACTATATTAATAGTGGTGTTAAATGTTTTTTTAATGAGAACACTAGGCATGCCACTTGCACTAAGCAGTTAACATTGGCGTAAAATAGTTTCAATCAAATTATCTAAGTCGAAATTTCAGAAGTTTTGAAATTTCTAAGAGAAACAGTTTCTGATCATAGAGAGACATAAACATCTATTCAGATCAAAAACAAGTCCATCCCAAAAGGCTGAATTGTTAAACTACCATTACAGATGTCGGACACAGACTTGGTATTGTAAGGTTTACCAAGAGGTGAAATTGAGTGATTCAGTTATTCACAGAGTGCTGTTTATTACCCATACCCCGTTCTCTAATGTTTGTAACAGCTCCTTTTCTGGTGTGAGGCTCAATGTGATCCCATGTCTGGTCGGACAGCTAGAGCATAAAAGGTGTCTCACAGTGACTGGGAATCTGAGCTTGGGGTAGTCGGGGGAGCTAATGAGTTGGGGGGCGGCGGGGGTAAAGAGGCTGAAACGATGGTCAAAACGATAGGTCTTAGTTGGGATTTGAAGGCAAGGAAAAAAAGGCAAGAGCAAACTATGATGTCTGAGACCCTACCTAAGCTATGTAAATGCAAATTGTTGTTGTTGTTGAGGATTGAGATCCAGGGAGCAGGGGTCTGAATGGCTGAAAATTCACCCATCAATGGTGAGGAGGGAAATAGATGCAGCACAATTCACACACATAGGTGGACATGTATCAAAGTAGTTCTACTTACACGCAAAATACTGCCAAGGAGAATAGGTCCTCCCAAAGTCTGTGGATCGCTCAAGAACCCAAAGGTCCGGCCGAGGAGAATTTGCAAATTTAATGAGCACATAGGCCACATGGAAGAGCTGTTGAAAGATAAGATCAAACATGAATATGTCAGTAATATAATAATAATAATCCTTGCATTTGATATAGCACTTTTCACGTCTTCTAGACATCTGAAAGCGCTTCACAGAATATACTGTAAAGTGAATTGATTTTTTTTTTGTACTGTGCCAAAATACATTGTGCTACATTAATGATAGGGTTTTATTTGCCAAAAAAATCTATCTGCCTGATATGAGGTATTGCAGCCATAACCTTAGTTAATAGGCTTGTTGGAAACTAAAACAGATGGAACCACTGACTATCCTGTTCCCAACCAGGACATTTATTGACTGGAGCATCTTGTACCCCTGCACTTTGCCTCCGGGATTGGACTCTCAGTTTTCTGCCTTCTCTGCAGAAACATAAGCAAAACAGAATTCAGTAGTCTAAGAGTGAGCAGAAACCAAATGGGAAATTCAACTCAATCTAAAATCAGGGGAGGGGAACTCAGTAATAGTGAGCAGAGGAGCAGGCCAGCACTCTACAGCTAACATGCTCTAGTCTGGCTGTTTATGGGAAAATGCTACCTGCAAATTGGCTGCCACATTCGCCTACAAAATACGTGTATGTGTGTGAAATATGTGTGTGAATTGTGCTGCACCAGTAGTGTAAGTGCTACAAGTGATATTTTCCTGTTATATATTGAGACAACAGATGGCAAATGATTTTGCAAGTCATTTACTGAAGCTCCTTCAAAATTACTTTTAACAGGAAAAAAATACAAACTCCTTGGAAAGACCCAGGAAGTAGAATGCCCTTTTCTGTGTCTTGTTTTACCGGAGGTATTTTGTCTAAACACTACAACAAATTGAACGGAACTGTTTAAGACGGCAAAGATCCCCTCGTGACCTGATTCAGTAAAGAGTGAGTCAGTGTGGGGGGAGGGAGGGGGATTTACACCAAAATCCTTTCCCACAAGTCTATATCTTGGCACCAGGGACCAAGCTGAACACAAGCCAGTGCCTCAAATTGTGATTCTTTTGGTAGCAAGAATTTATTTTATTTTTAAGTTCTGCTTCATGTTTCTGGGAACTCGTAAAGGGCAAGGCTTTGTGATTTGGCTCTTGTGGAATCGGCCCAAAATTCATCCCCGGCCTCTTCAATAAGCCAAATACAACAGGCAGAAAAGGGCTTTTCTCTCTATTGATGTGCCGGCACTTAGAGGAGGGAGCAACAGTTCAAACAAGGCCGGAAAGAGAAAGGTAGTATTGTAGATAGTGTTGGATATTCACAGCACCTCCATTAGCCTGTGTATGAGATTAAATAAAATGTCTCAGACGTGATACTACATTGGGCAACTTTTCTTCTCCCCACCCCCCCCCGCCCCCCGACTCCGAGGTGAAACGTTGGCAGCACTCTTATCTTTGGATTCAACAGTTATGGGTTGAAGCCCCAAGTCATCGAGGCTGACACTCCAGTGCAATACAGGGAGGCTGTGTTGTTGGGAGTTGCCGCACCTCAAAGGTGACCAGCTGCAATACTCAGGTGGTTGCAGATGATCCCATGTCCTGGCCAACAATCTTCCTGATTAATTGGCCCTCACCTTTTGGTGGAAGAAAAAAGACCTGAATCCAGGCCCAAATATCGGTCTTTATCATCTTCAGTACAAAAGCTGATGAACTCGCAGACTCAGACGCTACAGTACCTTTTCACAGCCTTATATAGACTGAACACTTGGACAAATATGCACTAGCTACAGCAGTAATCTGTTGTGCACACAGACTGCCAGATGACGTACTTGCACAGATTTGGTCCCATTTATAACAGAGAAGCAAAACCACCAGCTGCAATCTAAAGCATTTTTAAACAAACAAAATTTGCCCTGTGGCTCAAGGCTTCAGGTGATTCAAAAAAGCAAGCGAGTGAGTAAGTGAGTGTGAGAGAGAGTAAAGACTATTTACAGCTATCTATCTCATCAAGAAGCACGATATCAGAACTGATGGCTGGCAACACAAGGAGGCCATTCAACAAGGGAGAGAGCGAGGCAATGGGAATGTGGGATGGAGTTCCAGAGGGTAGGAACAGAGAGGCTGAAGGCCCGGCCGCCAATGGTGGGGCGGGCTTGGCAGGGGACTTGGAGTAGATCGGAGGCTGCTGAGTGGAGGGAGCAAACTGGTTGATATGGAGTCAGCAGGTCACAGAGATAGTGAGGAGCAAAACCAAGGAGGACCTTGAAGGCAAGGAAGAGGATTTTGAATTCTATCCTCTGGGGGATGGGGAGCCAGTGGGGCCGGGCGAGGATGGGTGATAGGGTCATTAGGGACGGTGATGTTTTTGCTTGTGGGAAGACTGGAAATTACTTCCCTCTTTCTAGTGATGGCATAAGCACCTCATTCGTAAAGTCAGTGAAAAATGAACCATGTGATTCAACAAAGGCTCAGTCAGAGTTTACAGTCATTTGGCTCCAGAGGAATGGCTCACAAGACCACGTGGTGGTTAGAACAGCAGAGGGCGCTCTGGAGCATCCCAGAGTTTGCGTAGAGCGATCAATTGGTGGAGCAATAATTGACTCAAATGATCCCTGTATAACATGCTCCATGTTCATATTCCCAATGAGGCAGCACAGTTCCTTATTCAGTGGCACTTGGCCTGCAATTTACCAGAAAAAAAGGGCCTCAGGGTCTGCCAGTGTGATTTGTAACAGCATTTGACCCAGGGTAGAAACGTCACAAAATGCTTCACGGGTAATTTGCTGCCTCGTGTAGTGACTGCATCTGTAGGCAAACTGCAAAACTGTAAACCTTCAACAAAAATGATGGTGAGAGCAAAGCTTTTGGCCAATGTAGTTCATACCTGAGAGAAACCGCATGAATGTTTTGTTTGTCTCAAGAGATGATTTTTAAAGAAATCTATTTAACGTGACTGTGAGGATCCTGCGATGTCTCTGGGTAAATCCCCCGAGGCTGACAGGATTACTGGTCCAACAAAAGCTCTGTTTTTGGATCAAATCAAATTCCCGTAAAGATCCGATTTTTATTTCACAGATGAGTGTGAAACACTTTCAGATTCTAGGACTTTGCTCAGTTCTCGGTTTCCCTTCTTGTGAAGAAAGAAATGCTTAAAGCCCCATTGTTGCAAACCACTTCAAGCTAACCGCTATGAAACCTGGGGATGGAGTTTGACACCTTTCAGTGTCCCACCAAAATGAAAGGAACGGTGAAGGGAACGCTTTTATTACTGAAGCTTGGCTCTCACTAAGATATTGTTCAACATGTACTAGCACTTTGGTACATTCTCCTGAGGTGAAAGGCATGTTACAAATGTTATTTGTTTTTATTTGTTGTTCTCACTCGAGTTGATACGCATCGAGTTGATGCTCCCACCCTCGCTCGCCTCCACTGGCTCCCCATCCCCCAGAGGATTGAGTTCAAGATCCTCACCCTCACCTACAGGGCCATTCACGGCCTTGCTCCCTCCTACCTCTCCGACCTACTATCCCCCTACCTACCCACCCGTACCCTCCGTTCCTCTGGCTACGGTCTGCTCCACGTCCCCCGCCCCAACCGCCCTACCATCGGTGGCCGGGCCTTCAGCCTCTCAGCCCCGAGGCTCTGGAACTCCATCCCCCAGTGCCTTCGCCGCTTCCTCCCTTTCCTCCTTCAAGGCCGGTCTCAAGACCTTTCTCTTTGACCATGCCTTCAGCTCTCCTCTCGACTCTCTACCCCCTCCTCGCTCCCTCCCCTCCCTTCCCTCCCCTCACCCTGACCATTTCCCCCCAATGCTCGGGTCCTGACCCAACTGTACAGCGCCTTGGGACGTCCTCCCGACGTGAAAGGCGCTCAATAAATGGCATCTTGTTGTTGTTGTTGTTGTTGTATGAACACAAACTGAAACCAAAACTTTGCTGTGTTTATTATTATATTTATACATTGGCTCCCTATCCTTCAGAGGATCCAGTTCAAAATCCTGGTCCTCACCTACAAAGCCCTCAATGGTCTCGCCCCACCCCATCTCTGTGACCTCCTAACCCCCTACTAGCTCGCCCGCTGCCTCTGCTCAGCCGGCTCCACGTCCCCCACCCCACCATTGGTGGGAGAGCCTTCAGCCACTCTGCCCCCAACCTCTGGAACTCCATCCCCCAATCACTCTGCCTCACCCCCTCCTTAACCTCCTTCAACTCCCACCTCAAAACCCTCCTCTTCGACCATGACATTGGTCACCCCCCTTCCCCTCCCCTCACCCCAGCTCGGGTCTGAAATGCTGTACACTGTCCAGGGCCTTGGGACGTCCTCCCGATGTGAAAAGCGCTGTATAAATATAATCTTGTTGGTATGGTTGTTATAACACTCTAAATGTTGCAAACTCCAGGAAGTATTTACTCAATGTGTAACACCATGTGACATGAACGACAGATTCTCTGATTTCAGTTTCCTTTCAGTTTGTGACCGAGATTCACCTCCAAAGGTAAGAACCACATTGGTTGTTGGATTAGATTAGAAACCAGTATGTGTGTGTGTCATTTCTCAGTGAGATTAAACGGTGCAATAATTCTTGAAACTCATGAGTTCACTGCTCAGAAAGGAAATCCAAACCACAAAGAATGTGGGAGACATGTATCCTAACTGCTCCATGTCCGGTAAACCTCACACGAGTTAGACATTTAATATGACTTATGCAAAGTATGAGATGTCAAACTTGCATAGTATATAAACTCTTGAACGGGACTTCAAGAGGGAAGATGTATGATTTAGGTGACTGCATGATTTATACAGAACAGACTCATGTGCGTTTCACTCTATTTAGTGTCGTCACCACTGATCCTCAACTGCACTGAGTGTTAGTGTTCTTCATATTGCTCTCAGCCTTTGATAAGCAAATCTCAGAGGTACAGGACCACACTTTATACTTGGAATCAATTTGTAAGAGACCCTTGGACCCACTTACACTCGCTGAAAATGTCAATTCAGGCTGGATTCCTGGGTTTGTGCCCACAAGAATGCGGTGTGCACTGGTGTGGAAGATAAGTTACACAGTGCAA